TTTAATTGAAAAGTTGCGTGTTTATGAAATTGAAGGATGCGTCTACAAAATATAAACTTATAAGGATTTTCACTAAAATAACTCTTTCCGTTTCTCACAGGTGGGGAGCTATATATTTTACTTAGTCTTAATATCTCACTACCATTTTATCGTTATTATACACAAATGGACAGGTTCCAGGCGGCTCCGGACGACACCGCACCGCAGCCTACCGTCTCCCATTCACGCCCTGCCTCCCTCCCCGCCCCACCCCCGCTGACGCGCAGGGGCTTCTGGGCATTGTGGTTCACAGGCTTCCCTGCGCATGCGCCGTGGCTCTGGGTGCTCGCTACGGGGGTCATAGTTTGGGGCGCTCAGGTGAGTCCCCCTTGGACCGCGCGCCGCTCATCGGTGTCGTCAGGGTTGGGGACTGGAGGGCGAGCAGCTGGGATCCAGCGAGGTCTATTGCAATCGGAGGAGTTGGAGGCGGGCACTGGCGGGGTAGGGTGGTGAGGGGCTCTGACCTGGCCTCCCTGGGATGATGTGGGGCGACCTTGGGCTTGGTTGGGGGATTGACTCGGGTAGTGCAGCTTAAGGTTTAAGGATAGTAGCATGGGCTGTGCATCCCCGGGTCGGGGTCTTCTGGGGACATGCCTCTGGATCGTGGCAGGGGATTAGGGCCCTTGACCCGGATTGTGCATCGCTGGTTGGCGCGGTAACCTGAGTGGCGCGAGAGGTTGGCTTAAACAGTTGTTCCCGGGTCTGGCGAACGGCTTGGGCTGATCATCCCTCGACTTGGCGGGGGCATTCTGGCTTCGCGGGCCACAGATTTGGGAGGACCTTTTGATTGATTGAGTTTGGGTGAAAATTTACAGAGCCAATTCACTTTCCATACAGCAGCTCACATACACTTTGTCTCGTGACATTGACTACAATTTACCCCAATGCAACAGCTCCCCTCCCACTTCTTCCCAGTAGTTACCTCTTCCCTGTGTCCATCCCTCCATGCACTTCTGTCCCCTGAGCTATCTCCCTGTGCATACACAGCCCTTCTTTCTCCCATGATTATTCTCTCCAAGGAGTGTATCTACCTCAGGTAAATGTTCAACTCATATGCCTGTCTTCTGCTTGGCTGGAAGCCACAGGTGTGGGTTCAATTCCAGACCTGAAGGGCAGCTAGGGGCCATAGTCTCAGAGTGGTTCCACCAGGCTTTATCGGACCAGCAAACCTGGTCCCCCCCTTTTTTTTCTCCAAATGAATGATCAGTGCCCTCTTTTATAAGCAGGAAAGAGTCTGAGATGTAACTGAAAAGACACTTCATAGCTTATTAACCCAATTCTATAACCTCGTAAGCTGCTGGAGTGGTGCAACTCAAAGTGTGGTCCACAGGCCGGTACTAGTCTAAGAAAGAATGTTCTTGGTCCGAGACAAGATAATTTCAGAAGTGAGAGAAAACAGTTTAAAAAAGTTGTATAACAATTGGAATAAGGTTATGATAGAATAATCTAATAATTAAAAAAAAAATGGGCTCATAATTTGTATGTCATTTTATTTGCTTTTCCTAGTAATATCAGGTCTGTGACCTATTGAAAATAACAGTGATAATGGTAATAAACTGGTCTTTCAGCACAGATGGTGCAAGAAGCACAGTCCTGGAGGACTGTGCCATGGCTCTTGATTAATTAGGGGGGGTCCTCACAGTGCCTAAAGCAGCAATATCATATAGTCAATTCTTCCTCAAAGGACAGAGGCCACTGTGTTTACAGGGTTTATCAGATGAAGGCCCAGCAGGAAATAAACCACTAGCACCTACCAATTGACACCACGTTGATGTCAAATCATGGCAACCTCGATGAGTGTTGTGAGAGTCGAACTGTGTTCCATCGGTCTTTCAATGGCTGATAGTTCAGAAATAGATGCCCAGGCTTTTCATCTGAACTGCCTCTGGTGGACTTGAATGTCCAACCTTTTGGTTAGCAGCCAAGCTTGCTAATTGTTTGCACCAGCCAGGGACTCTGAGGAAATAAATAGCACAGTAAGATTGAGTCATGAAAAAGCTAATAAAGGGATAATTTAAAAAGGTCTGTAAGGTGCATCTCTTGGTCTCTCCACATTTGGAACAGAGATGAGTGAAGACAATCAAAGACACAGAAAGAGTTACTCTAAAGGACTAATGGATCACATGAACTCCAGCCTTCATGACTCTGAGACCAGAAAAGCTAAAGATGACCAGATACCAGCGTCAACCACCCTGAAAGGTATCAAGATAGGAGGTCCTGGATAGAATGGGAAAAAAAGGAAAACCAAAACTCAAAATCATAAAAATGACCAGATATACTAATCAGATAGAGACTGGTGGAGTCCCCGAGATTATGGGCCTTAAACACCTTCAAGCCTGGAACCAACACTCACCCCTGTGGCTCAACTTTCAACCAAACAGTAGATGGCCTATAAGGTGAACAATAACACGAGGGAGGTACACATTCCTTAGAGCGACCAGCCATATGAGATCAAAAGGGCAGGAAGGTATAGGACAGAAGAACAGATGGAAATGGTACACAGAGGAGGGAAGTGAGAAGAGAGCTGTTACATTGTAGGGATTGCAATCAATGTCACAAATCAAAATGCGTATGTTGAATGGAAAACCTATTTGCTCTGTAAACATTGACCTAAATCACAATAAAAAGTTGGCGGGGGGGTGGAGAAGAAAGGTATAGATACCATATGAACCAGCAGTTCCACTCCTAGGTATATACCCAGTAGACATGAAAGCGGTGACACAAACAGACACGTGTACACGGATATTTATTGCCACACTATCCACAATAGCTAAAAAATGGAAATGACCTAAATGTCCATCAACAGATGAATGGATAAATGAAATGAGGTCCATCATACGATGGAATATTGCACAGCTATAAAGAAAAATGAAGTCCTGATCCATGCTGCAACATGGATGAACCTTGAAAATGTGCCAAGTGTACGTCAATCACAAAAGGACAAATATCATAGGATCTCACTTAAATGAAATATCTGGAATAGGCAAAGGTATAGAGACCAAAGTTTCATTAGTGGTCACTAGGGCCAGGAGGCAGGGAGAGAGGAGACATTGTTTAGGAAGCGGTGGGTACCTGTTTGCTTTGATGGACAATTTGGCGACCATTATTAATGAGGACTGCACAATAGGACCAATATAACTGATATCACAGAATTGTTCAGGCGATCCCCAGATTGAATGAAGTTCCGTTCCTATGTTGGTCTTCAAAAATTTGTATGTAATTTGGAACCATTAGCTATGGTTCATATATAACATCAGTTAATGAAATGTTTGTCTATAGTATATAGTCTATAGTGTAACTTTCTTTGCATAAAAAAACATTAAAGAAACTTCCAGATACACTAAACATCTCTTACAAAGCAATGCAATAATAATGTTTTAATCTGCATCACAAATAGCACCCATTTGTTAATATGAACCATTGTATGTACCTCAAATTTTTAATAGAATTAGGCTTTATGGGAGGTTCATGTGTACAGGTTGTATGTAAATTGAATCACAACCCAGGGGACTACCTGTACACATGAAAAACATTGAATTGGCAAGCATTGTGTTAAATATGCTTGCCAATTCAACACAATGCTTTCCAATTCAATGTTTTTCATGTATACAGGTAGACCCTGGGTTGTGATTTGATTTACATACAACCTGTACAAATGAACCTCCTGTAAAACAATGCAGTGTTAGAATATTTATTTTTACAACAATAATTTTTTTTTAAAAAGTGTTGATGGGGTATGGTACAACAACAAAGGGTATTGGAATATCCCAAAGCCAGGGTTCTTTAACTGCCCCTAGGCTTGATGTGCTAAGCTACCAGAACCTGGAGAAAGAGCTGTGAGATGAGGGCTGCCTACAAGAGCTATGCCCTTGGTCAAGGAGCACTGAACATAGCCAGCCCAAAGCAACCCTACACGGAAAGAGTTGGAGGAATAAATACTCACTCTTGTCCCTTTTCTGTTGGATGAACCCAAGTGGAATCTAGAGGACGAGCAAATCCATTGGCCCAAGCAGGACAGACAAGGGTGCTGAGTGTATGTGGAGGGTTTCTACTTGAGGACAAGGGACCTCTTTCTGTTCTCCATCTATAGTCCAAGAGAGCTCATCACTCAGTGTACTAAGAGCATCTCTAGTACAAAGAATGTGTCTGTGCATGTAGTAGGCTTACTTACAGTCAGTGGAGTTCCTGGGTGGCACAAATGATTAAGCACTCATCTGCTAGCCAAAAGGTTGGCAGTTCGAACCTACCCAGAGGTATGTCATGAGACAGGCGTGGCGATATGCTTCTGAATGGTCACAGCCTTGGAAACTCTATGGAACAGTTCTGCTCTGCACACATGGAGTTACCTTGAGTTTGCGTCAACTTGATGGCAACTAACAATAGCAACATGAAGTCAGTTTTTGCAAAAGTGATGAGGCTATAGGCAATAGAGTGCTGGAGAGATAGAGTTTTGGAAGCCAAGAGTTAAGATCTTAGCTAATTGAGAATCCTTTAGGCCACAGATCCCAGCCATGCAGGAGCAGGTCTGGCTTCTTGAAAGTAGGAGGAAAAGAAGACCCCCTGTCTACAAGAATCCATTCTCAGAACCTTCTCCAAATCAGCAATTTTGGAGTCTCTTTTCCAGAGTAACTAGGATGTAGATGGTGTCAATGCATTCCCAAGTCTGAGAAAAGGAAAAGAACATGGAGATTTTGACCCAAAAGCTTGAGGAGAAAGATGGAAGTTACACAAGGGCCTGAGATTGGTGGAAGGGTGGAGCAAGAGGGAAGAGCAGATGAGGTGGTCAGGGGTCAGACTATTGACAGTGAGGAGAGAGGGAAGGATATCTTGGAGGAGGAGAATGAGTGAGAAAATTGTACAGATAAGAAAGAACCAACATGCATCACAACTTACCTCGTGAATTCTTTCTTCTTCACAATTCTCCTTTCTCAAGATCCTGCCCTTTCCAAGAAAAGGATAGTATGATCAAGTTCCAGGTAAGTTGTTAAGTGCTGTTGATTCAGCTCTGACTCACTATAACCCTATGCACAACACTGCCCGGGCCTGTGCCAGCCTCACAATCCCTGCTATACCTGAGCCCATTGTTGCAGCCACTGTGTCAATCCATCTCATTGAGGGCCTTCCCCTTTATCCTTGACCCTCCACTTTACCAAGTATGATATCCTTCTCTAGGGAGTGGTCCAGGTAAGTTAAATTTTCCTTATTTCTCTTTAAATGACATGCCCATTTGAAGAAACTGGACATGTCTATTGCCTGGAAGGAAGTCAGCATTTTTGGGTGATGACTGTGTTAGACACTTTACCTCACTAATACCTATTAATCTTCTGGACAGCTGTGTGAGGTTGGAAGTATTACTCCCTCTGTAGAAATGTAGAAACAATCTCAGCAATGTCAAGATGTCAAGTTCATGCTGTATGAAAAATGAATTTACTCTGTAAATCTTCACCCAAATCCTAATAAAAATAAATAAATAATTTTAAAAAAAGATGTCAAGTTCAGCATTACTCCAAGTGTGGTCCACAAACCAGTGCCAGTCTCGAACTGCTCACTATGGGTCCATGACAGAGAAGTACAGAAATCAAGAATAAGAGTTCAGAAACGTTGAGAGTGATGTGGTATTGCCACAGCATCTGAGCACATGGTCAGTCTACACATGACCACAATCTGAGGACCACTAGTCTGGTTCAATAAGTAGCAAGATTTGAATGGATCTCTTTCAGAGTTCAACCAGGGAAGTGGAACCCATACAAGATATAAAGTAAGAGATTTATTATAATGAATTGGCTTGCACAATTGTCAGAGCTCTGGTAGCGTAGTGCCTAAGGCATTTGTCTGCTAACCAGAAGGCTGGCTGTTCAAACCCACTAGCCACTCCTTGGAAGGAAGGTTCAGCAATCTACTTCCATAGTAATACCCCCTTGGAAACCCAAGGAGGGGTTGCTATGAGTCGGATCCGACTCAGTGGCAGTGAGTTTGGATTTTGGTTTTACACGATTGTGGGAGCCAGCTGAGAAACTCTGAAATCCATAGGACAGGCCATCAGGTAGGGCAGGGTTGGAAGTACTGGGAATGGTCTGAAGGCTGCTATCTGCAAGTGGAATTGTTTCTTCTCTCAGGGAGCCTTAGCCCTGCTTTTAAAAAAAGTCCTTTCAACTGACTGAACAGACCCAGATTATCTAGGATACTTCCCATAGTGCCTGAGGCATTTGACTACTAACCAGAAGAAATTGGACATGTCTATGGCAGCTCAAACCTACCAATCACTCCTTGGAAGGAAGACTGGGCAATCTACTTCCGTAGTGATACCACCTCAGAAACCCAAGGAGGGGTCAC